GAATCTTCTTATTAAAAACTCGACTTTTTGCATAGAAACAAGAGTAAGATGCCGTTTACTAAACACTTACTTGGTAAGTGATTACTAGCAAAATTCAACACTATCACATACTTACCAGGTAAGATCTTAGTCCATCAAAACAATATCGTATGCAACAATTTATCCAATAATTGCTAACTGTGGTAAGAGTCGTCGCCATCACGTACTGGGTAAGAATCTCGGTCCTTGCCTTCGCTTTTGCTGGGTAAGATTTTTGGTCCTTGCTATTATCGGTCCTTACCTTCGCCCATGTGAATGGGATCCCTCTCAGGCCGTTATTGGTCCACCACTATGACTTGATTAGGTTACAAATCCTTTAAAGTTAACATTGTGCATTTTTACTTTCATTTTTTGTTATTACAACATTGTATTTTCAAAATATTTTTTATTAAGTAATTATATTTTGAAAATTTTATCCATTATAGCTATGAGTAAATTTTCTATTTGAATCAAGATGACACAGGTTTTAATTTCATGTCATTGGATTTGTTAGAATTTGGATGTCCAAGTATAACATATTGTTAATATAACATATCTTATCACAATATTGCATTTTCAAAAAAAAAATTAACTTTATGTATTATTTAATAAATATACTATATTAATTAAGAAACCTATAAATTATTTATTAGTATAATAATAATTAAAGAATTATATATCACAATTTATCTCGTTAATATTTTAAAAAACTGATATATATATATATATATATATATATATGTCTAATTAAATGAGAACTAATTAGTTTGTGGTAACCGTGAGGTCCAATCTCAACAACAAATCAATAAATAAATTAGGAAATTTATAATTTTGGTAATTTTTTATTAAAATTTTAATACAAGAACATTTTAGGTATTTTCTCTCCTCTCTCCTCTCTTCTCTCTCCGTCTTCCGGCCTCCGTCCCTCGTCCTCCGGTGATACCACAGTGATATCACAACGCATCTTATATGTGATTGGGTATCACACTGTGGTCGTTTGTACGGTCGATCGGATATGTAACACAGTGCTATCACAATGCATCTTATATGTGCTTGAGTATCACACTGTGGTATCGTCGGAGGACGGTGGCCGGAAGACGGGGACAGAGAGAGGAGAGAAAATACCTTAAATGTCCTTGCATTAAAATTTTAATTAAAAATTACCAAAATTAAAAATTTCCTAATTTATCTATTGATTTATGGTTGAGATTAGATCTCACAGTTAACACAAACTAGTTAGTTCTCCCTTAAATGAGCACCTATATATATATACACACACACACACACACTAGAAGGGTACTCACACAATGTAGCGAGATAAATCTCGATTTTAATATTTTGTTTTTATTCTTTATCTCTATCGATATAATACGATTTTATGTGATAAATTTTTTATTTTTAAATAAAATATAAATTTGAAAATAACATACAATTTTGAAAAAAAATAAATCGATATTAGTATCAAATACTATTTAATTGTTCTTGTTTTTGTGGTGTAACTTCTTTAATTTATATTTTTATTATAATTTAATTTANTTTAATTTAAATTTATTAACAAAATAAATTATTTTTGGTTTAACAATATAATTTTTTTTATAAAGATAATGATTAAATATTGTGTTAGAACTCAATGATTATCTTAATTATATTTTAGATTTTCTATATTTAAAATGAATGTTTATCCTGTATTTGACTATGTTTATCTGCAGTTAGTTACACAAATTTAAAAATAGAGCTTTAATAAGTTGTACTTACGTAAAATTACTTGTAATCTTGAATTTTAAGTAATATGCATCAATAAACAATATTTTATGCATAAAAATGATTTTTAAGAGTTTTTATCAAATGTTTTATAGTATAGTAGATATATATATATATATATATATTGTGAATAAAGAAAAAATATAAACATAATATTATATCTTAGAATAACTAGTTGTATACCTGCGCAATGCGACAGGAGCCGTGAATTTTAATGATTTTGAAGTTTCACTGGTTTTGTTAGAGAAGATTTAACAATGATATAAATAACATTTGGTCTTTATATATTAATACAATTTGAATAAACAAGAGTTATGGTTTCAATTACAGTCTATCGATGAAAAAAATTGTATGACAATTTAAAATCCAATATATTTAAAATTCAACATATTTAAACGACTTCACAAATGTGTTCGATTTACACCAAGAGCAAAGAATCAAGAGATCGAGACCGAGACCGAGAGTTCTAGATATCAAGCAAAGAACATTTGACTTAAGATTTTCATAGGTTTCAAAACTTATTCCACGAAATCCAAGCACTCAACTCAATATATTTTCAACACCAAGGTAAATACACTATGATATGTCAGGTTCTGAAATATTTTGATGGAATTTTAGTATCATAAAAATTGACATGTGATGTGCCTCAAGATGCTAGAAGTAACAGATGAATTGATAACCAAAAACATCTCTCAAATTCCCAAAGTTTCATAGTAAGAATCATAATCTGATATAATAGGCCCCAAAAATGAACTGCTAAAAAGACTTCTAGGAGGTAAGCACTTGCCATGAAGAATGTCGTGAAGAGATCCATTTGCAGCGTACTCATAGGCAAGTACTCTCAAACCACTGTCCACACAATATCCAAGTAGCTCCACGACATTATCATGTTTAAGTCGTGATACCATAGAAACATGCCTTGAAAAATCATACAATAGCAAACCCAAATCAGAATATTGTTGTAATACCAACTTCATTAAATAAAGATATTAGCAACCATAAGTCCAATAGAATATAAACAAAAATATCAAAAACATCCCTGAAGAAAGCCAATGATTGAGAAAATCAAGTCACATCCATCCATAAACCATATATCACCAAATAAATCATCAAACTTTGAGTACCAAAATCCATTCAAAGTTGATCAAAAACCAAAAGAAACAGTGGCCAATACAGAATATTAGACAGGTCTCATAACTGTATATAAACCACATCAGCAGCTAAACTTAGAACCAAGATGTGTCTAAGCAGTGTAAACATCCTCTCCTCAATTCATAACAATAGCAGAAGATAAGCCAATGCATTCAAAATTTGATCAAGGCCATACGAATAGATAGGAAAGAACAGATTTGATCAAAACCATACCAAACAGATTTGATCAAGACCATACCAAACAGATTTGATCAAGAACTATATTGTAGATATACTGAATTGGGATGAATTTGTTTTTGTTACGGGGCTACCAATTACCAGAATTTATCAATTTTTAAATTATCATGTCTACACATCTACACACCATCTCCATGCTCTTCATGATCATGGTTGATAAATTATGATTATTGCTAGTTAACTGTTACTTTTAGGCTTAAAATTAACATAACCTTCTGAATTGCCTTCATAACAATTGTTGTAATAACATCAACCTTCAAAATCATTCTAACATATTACCACAAAAAATGTTGTTGAACGTAGTAAGAACTTACCCGTAGCAGCTGTAGATAGAAATAACTATCCAACATCAAGCTTCAACCAAGGATGATAACAACTCCATGAGAACAGGCACAGCTACCGGTTGCGATGAAAACCATCTGTGGCATCAATCATCAACTGGGTTTAAAACACAATATGAGCATACAATCTTCTATAATGGAACATATAATGCCACATTTCATAAATTAGGAGGGTAAGAAAAATCTTGATAGTTTATGTACACCCTGGTGGAAATTTGAGTCATAAACAGACTGTTCATGCTTGTTTATCATCCTTCATGTTTATTGATCTTCTCTTTACATGTTTGTAATTTTTGTTATTCTAGCCACTTTTAAGGACTAACCATTTACATTGTCAAATGAACTTAATCAAAGTGGTCTTGTAAACGGGATGTGAAATTTTGATCTTTAGTCTGCAGTTAATGTGGTAGATATGCTTGAACACTTTGTTCAAGCCTACTGAATCTTGACACATTTTCAACCCATTCTTGAATCTTGACAACCCATTCTTCAATCTTGACAAAATTGATCGTCATCGAACTATTTTATGTTGCCTTAATGCTCATTTATTTTATTTCTTCTGGAGATGTTTAAAAAGTAGAAAAAATTGAGGTAGGGGGAATTGGGTGGTCCTTGCTCTTTTACATATTGAATATTTATAAATGAGTGTATAAAATTATTTCAGCTCTGTTGGAAGAAGCCAAAAAATATGACCATAGAAAGCTGGGAAAAAAGCAGGAACTTTTCTTTTTTCCATCCTCTTAGGTAAGTGCATTTCAGGAAATTTCTTTATATCTCTTGTTTGTCTACTGTATTTAATTATTTTTCTTTCTATATGTTTCAGCCCAGGAAGTCGTTTCTTTCTTCCTCATGGTACTCGAATAACTGATAAGTTGATGTCCTTTATACGAACAGAATATCGTAAAAGAGGTTACCTGGAAGTGATCTATATCTTTTGATTCATGGGTTCATGAGCTTTTGCCCAATCTTGACTCCATAAACCCTAATGGGTATCTGAAAATTTTGATTTCTGAGTTGTACATGAATGATAAAAACAAACCAAATAATTACCTGGAGATGGATTGAACGTTGAAGAAGACGATGGAAGACAGGTCATATTTCGAAGAAGACGATGGAAGACAGGTCAGAAATGACGATAGAAGCACGATTGAAGAAATGACGAAAGAAGATTAAAGAAGATGATGGAACCTCGCTTTAATATATTGATGATTCGAGTGAATCGTCATTTTGGGGAGTGAGGAATTGTCTGAATCGTCGTATTGGGAGCGATGAATTGTCTGAATCGTCATTTTGACTTATGTTTTAAAATTTGTACTTTTTAAAGACTCAAGTCTTTTGTTAAATTTGCTTAATAAAATAGTATAGATAATATATCATATTTATTTTTAAACCCAGCATATTCCGATATTATTACCCAAAAATTCCGAGAAAGAAATATTTATGAAATTAATAAAATATTATCGTTGCTGCTTGCTCTACATAAATCGTTTCGTTTTGTACCTTCAAACAAGTCTCTAGTCATTTAGCGTTACACGTACTCTGTATATTCTTTGTAGCAAAAATGGCCGGCGTTTCTCTGATTAGTCGATTTCCTTCCAGTTCGGTGTTGGCGTTGTCGTACCCGAAACCCAGCTCGCGATTCTCGAGCTTTTTGGTTAATTCTATGAGCTTTCCCGTGAAGAACTCGGCAAAATCGAAGCTTCTTTTTGCTGGAGGAGTCCAAAAGAAATTCAATTTCACTGTGCGTGCTGGTACTGAAGAGAATTGGGAACCAGAGTCTAACGAATCTTCATCGGCGGTGGCAGAGGAGGAGCCAGTGCCGTACAAGGAGCCAACAGAGATTGATTTGTTGAAGAAGCAATTGGTTGATACGTTTTATGGGACGACCCGTGGATTGAGTGCCACGAGTGAAACTAGGGCGGAAGTTGTGGAGTTGATTACGCAGCTAGAGGCGAAGAATCCGACTCCGGCACCGACGGAGGCTCTTAGTCTTCTCAACGGAAAATGGATTTTGGCGTAAGTTATATACTTTTTATGTTTGTTTAAAGTTAAATCAATATTATTGCTGTTAATTGATCTAGTTGTTCATCGAATCAATAATCCTTCCTCTAGAGTCTTAGTTCTTCATTCAGCGGTTAACATTCAAATTATCATGCACGGATTGTTTTAATCCCATTAGATTTTTAGATTTCATTTCTTAATTACTTGTCAAATTTTTCAAAAAATTATTTGGATTTTCAACCTTTTTCTAGCGGAACCTGGTAAGTGCTATGAACACAATAATGTTGGTTCCATGTTTTCAATGTATCAATATCGTGGTTGGAAATTTCTGCTTTTGCATGAATTCAAGAATCAAAAGTCTGTTCACTAGTTTTATGTTTACAAGTTAAGACTGTGAATCTATAGTTAAATAATGATAGATTCAACTTTCAGAGAGGTAGTGGTGTGGTGGTGCTCACCCTGACTTCTTCGAAAAGAGGCATGACGAGAGTAGCAAACAGAAATAAAAAAATTGGAACTTAGAAGAGGTGAGCAAACTAGGAAAAGTAGAGAGGATCAGGGGTGGATCGACATTGAAGAGATCACCAGCGTACCTTCAAACATCTCTTTTGAGGGTAAAAAACAAATATATTTGTAATGTATGGATCACGGAAACAATTTCTCAAAATTTGAGATATAGATTAAGTTTGTGTACTATACATCTTACCCTCCCGAGGCCACACCTGTAGGTGGGATATATTGTGCTCGTTTGGCTTGGTTTGGCAATTTGTAACGTCTGGAAAGTCTTTTGTAACAATAGTTAAAAGGCATGGGCCCGTCACTTGAGAGGAGAATGGGATTGTTATACAGTGTAAAATAAATAGGCATGAAATAAATAACTTATGCTTCAGAGGGATACCTAATAGAAACAATTTGACCACCATATTGCAATTCTATCCATACATCAATAAGTTATTGTTCCTACATTGGAGAAGAGTTCCATTGAACATCAAGATGGTTTTTGAGCCCATAATCCTTTGATGCAATAAGATTGCTGTAGAAATTAATTAAGGATAACTGAACTTACAGGGACACATGAGTCTGGGATTTTCATCAAGTAGAATAGCAAACACATGAAGATAAATGGTTTAAAGATCATGAGAACTAGGCATTCTTGGTTCATTGTAAAACCTTCAATTATGCATTTACACAAAAAACGTAGGTGGAAATATTTTTGAGCTGTGCGGAAATTGTTGTAATACACTTATGATGAGACCTGGACTTGATGGGATCCATTGCTCATTCTTTTAAGGTCTACAATTGTAAGTTAACACCGAATGCTAGTTAATGTTAGGTAAATCACTTTAAAAAGACATTAAGTTTTCTGTTGGTTTACGCTAAATAGCACTGAAAGTATACAATAATAAAGTTTGGAAAATGATTGTTATGTGTAACAGACAAAGAAATGGGCCAGACAGCTATTTCCTCCAACTCATCTTACTTTAAATGAACCAGAATTGTACAAAGTGCTTATGCTTGTTTGGTGAATTCATGTGATGCTCTGTATCATTCATGTTTATGTGGCCCAATCTTTGTTGTTGCTTCTTTTCTTTCTAACTTCGATACTGTATTACCAATAATAACGAGACAAAAGAATCATATAATCAGAGAAGGAATCGATGGTTTTCCAGATGGTTTTTTTAATCATCATGCACCTTTGATACATGGTTTGGGTAGGGTGGTTTTTAGGGTGCATTTGTTTCACAAACGAAACTTGACAGGATTGGACGGGATGAGACAGTACTGGACTAGACTGTCAAGAGTGAGGTAGGAGGGTGAAAGAATTGTGGAAGTTTGACATGGGTAGTTTAGGGATTTACCTATCTTGTCTCATATCCTTGATTTTCGTTCCACCTGTTTTGGGTGGACAAAAAAACTATGTTTTTGTCCCACCTAGTTTTGTGCTGTCCAGTCTAATTGTGGCCCCAAGTGTGGGAAAACTAGTTTTTATATTGTATGTCCTGTCTTGTCCCCGTACCATACGGACCTTAAACTAGATACAAGAACAGTGTTGAATTATAGTTCGTCCTCACCCCTCTTCATGACACTACTACAATTGTAAACATGGTGCTACTTTTGTGTTACTGCAGCTATACATCTTTCCTAGGCTTGTATCCTTTGCTGTCAAGGGGAACCTTACCAATGGTGAAAGTTGAAGAGATATCACAAACCATCGACTCGGAAAATTTTGCCGTCCAGAATTGTGTCGTTTTTTCTGGACTAGGGTCCACTACGGCTATCACTACAAATGCAAAGTTTGAAGTCAGAAGTCCCAAGCGTGTACAGGTACAACCCAGGGAGCAAACTTTTCATTGCTTTATACGTTAACACCTAATAAGGTTTGCAAAATCTTAGCAATGTAGTGCGGTTTGCAGACCCAAAATCTAGGTCTAAGGGGCTGTTTACTAACCATTTATTGCCTCTTGCCGGGTAACTAAACATTTAGGGGCCGTTTACCAAATACCTGCTGGGTAAACTCTTATCAGCGAGAGTCACTACCCTCACTTACCTTATCGGGTAACATTCTTGCCATTACAGTGGATTGTTGGTAGCATCCCATACCCGGTAGACTCTAACCGGGTAAGATTTTCTCTCCTTTCCATGCCTCTTACCAGGTAAGATTCACTGTCCTTGTCATTGTCACCGGCTAAGGTAAGTGACACCCGGTAAGTGTTTGGTAAACGACCCCTTATTGCCTCTTACCAAGTAACTAATCATTTACGGCCTCTTACTGTGGTCAGAAATGATGATGTTTACCAATAATGTTATGTTACCATATTGCTATCTTACTAGGTAAGTGAGGTTGGTGACTATTAGACACACTTAGCTTTTGCATACTTATATGTTTATGTATAGTCATATATCTCTTTAAATTCTTTGAGGTTGTAAAGTGTAAATTCAATTTCTATAAATGATAAGTCTCTCCACCTAATTGGTGTGATGAGTACCATTATCATGGTATCAAGAGCAAATTAATCCCACCCTTTCTCTCTTCCCCTCCCACTGTCGTTCTCTCTTTCTTTCCCATCTTTTTCTTTTCCTGCACCTCTTCCCTTTCCATGGCTTCTCCTTCTCAAGATGCTACCCTACCCATGAATACAATTCTTCATCTGATCACTAACAGATTATCATCTTCCAATTATCTCTTATGGAAGAATCAAATGATTCCTCTCCTCACTTATCAAAATCTGTTAGGGCATGTTGATGGGACCCTTCACGCACCTGATCCGGTGATTCTCACCGCTGACAAGTCTACGCCAAATCCAGCCTTTACTGCATGGATCTCTGCTGATCAGCGGGCAATTATTCTCCTTCAAGCATCGTTGACCGAAGAAGCGTTTTCTGAAATCATTGGCTTATCAACGGCTCGACAGATTTGGGTTGCGCTTGAGGAGGCTTATAGTCACTCTGTCGAACGAATTCAGAATCTTCGGGATCAACTGCGCCAATTCTCAAAGGGTACGTCCACTGTTGCTGAGTTTGGACGAAAATTTAAAAATATTTGTGATCAACTATCTGCTGTTGGTCATCCCGTAGCTGCATCAGACAAAATTCACTGGTTCTTGTGTGGTCTTGGTCCGACTTTCGAGACTTTTTCCACCGCCATTCGGGCCTCTCGGTCGCTCACCACTCTCCGAGATCTTCTTACCCAAGCCGAGGCACATGAGTTATTTTTGCAATCTTTGCATGGTACTTCTTCCCCACCAGTGGCTTTTTCTGCTACTTCAGATTCACCCGTGTCTCGTCGTGGTCGTGGTGGTCGCTCGTTTAGAGGTGGTCGCGGTCGTGGGCGTCGTCCTCCTCGTTGTCAATTATGTCGAACAAATGGCCACTATGCTAGTGCGTGCCCACATCTCTACTCGTATGCCACTCATAAACCCGGTTCCGATACTGATTTAGCCAAAGCTTTTCATGCTCAATGTCATGTAACGTCCAATGCCCAGGATTGGTTTGTTGATTCCGGTGCTACCGACCATATGGCTTCTTCCACGGCCTCCGTATCTCAACCTATGCCTTATGCTGGGAACTCTAAGGTTGCTTTTGGGGATGGTAATGTTCTCCCCATATCTCATATTGGTCAATCTATGATTCACAATAATATTAAATTGCGAGACGTTCTGGTTGTTCCAACGATCACCAAAAATTTATTGTCCATTAGTAAATTGACTATTGATAATAGTTTGGATGTTTTGTTTTCCCAACCTCATTTCTATATCCAGGATCGAGCCACGAAACAGGTTCTAGCAAAGGGGCGATGTGAGCAAGGATTGTATGTTCTCTCACATAAGCCGGAGGCATTTACGGTCGTGGCATGTTCGAAGTTAAAGGCATCATATGAGCTTTGGCATTCCCGCTTGGGTCACGTTTCTTTTGATACTATTTCTCTCCTGAACAAATTAGGTCACCTTTCGGTGACGTCTTTATTACCGTCACCTGTTGTTTGTTCACCTTGTCAACTTGCTAAGGCGCATCGATTGCCTTTTGAATCTAATGAAAAACGTGCTTTACATGTGTTGGACTTGATTCATTGTGATTTATGGGGGCCATCCCCGATTACTTCGGTTGATGGTTATCGTTATTATGCTGTTTTTGTAGATGATTTTTCTCGTTTTATGTGGTTTTATCCACTCAAAACCAAGTCCGGTTTTCATGTGGTTTTTGGGGCTTTCCTTAAGTTTGTTCAAACACAATTTTCATCTAAAATTAAAATCTTCCAAAGTGATGGGGGCACAGAGTTTTTGAATCACCATGTACGGCGCTTGCTTGATGACRATGGTACTTTTCATCGTATTTCATGTCCGTACACTCCGCAACAAAATGGTAGGGTGGAGCGAAAGCACCGTCATATTGTAGAAACCGGTCTAGCCATGTTATTCAATGGGCATGTTCCATCTTCTTATTGGGTCCATGCTTTTCGCTCAGCTGTTCATATCATCAACCGGCTTCCCACTCGGGTATTAAATAATAAATCGYCGTTCGAGATATTGTTTCTTCGGGCTCCTTCTTATGATCATTTTCGCCCATTTGGATGCCAAGTCTACCCTTACTTAAGGGACTATGCGGAGCACAAATTGTCGCCACGAAGCCTTCCTTGCATATTTCTTGRTTATTRTGCCCMATACAAAGGATATGAATGTCTTGAGCCYGGCTCCTYTCGAGTTTTCATTACCCGGCATGCCAAGTTTGATGAGCTCTTCTTTCCGTTTAGCGGCACTTCAACTCGGGCTTCTATTCATGACCTTCGTCTAGTTGCTTTTTTAGACGATGCACCGTYTTCTAGTTTGCCATCGGCTCCTGCTCCAAGCCCRCCTCCKACTGCTCCATCCRTTGGYTGTGGGCTCTGCGATGATCCAGTTCCTGTCGCCGAGGCCCAGTCGCTGGAACAGGCCCAGTCGCCGGATCAGGCCCACTCGCCTGGTCAAGCTCAGTCGCCCATCGATGCTCAATCATCTGTCTCACCAGATAGTCCGCCTCCTGCTGTTTTGTTTGATGAAACCAAACCAGATTCGCCGGCTGCCACTCCTTCACCTGTACCTCCTGTTGGTCATTCCATGATTACACGGGCCAAGGCCGGCATCTTTAAACCGAAGCACCGAGTGGATCTTGCTTACACTACTAAACATGGTGTATATAGTGCCTTATTTGCTCAGCATGACCCGACCACTTTTTCTTCTGCCGCTTCGCAATCTCACTGGGTGAATGCCATGAACGCTGAAATGCATGCCCTACGAAACAATCATACTTGGTCGTTGGTTCCTAGACCCATGGATCGCAATGTGGTCGGTTGTAAGTGGGTGTTTCGAACTAAGTATCATTCCGATGGTACTATCGATCGTCATAAAGCTCGTCTAGTTGCCCAAGGTTTTAGTCAACTTCCGGGTGTTGATTACTCACATACTTTTAGTCCTGTGGTGAAGGCATCCACGGTTCGTGTTGTTTTGTCTTTGGCTATCACAAATGGTTGGTCTCTTCACCAGCTCGACGTCAATATCGCCTTTCTTCATGGCACCCTGAATGATCCCGTTTACATGGAGCAACCGCCGGGATTTTCTGATCCTCGTTTTCCCGGTCATGTGTGTCACCTACATAAAGCTCTTTATGGTCTTAAACAGGCCCCACGGGCTTGGTTTCATCGTCTAAGCACCTTTTTGGTTAGTACCGGGTTTGTTTGCAGTCGGGCAGATCCGTCTCTATTTGTGTTCAAACGTGACTCGTGTGTGCTATATTTATTGGTCTATGTTGACGATTTAATTTTGACCGGCAATGATGACACGGTTATTCGTTCCATCATCACTCGCTTGCACAACGAATTCGCGATCAAAGACCTCGGCCGTCTAAATTATTTTCTTGGGATTGAAGCTATTTACACCACCCATGGTCTATTTCTCAGTCAGACCAAGTACGCCCATGACATTCTTGCTCGGCCGGTCTTCTCGATGCTAAACCAACTACTACTCCTATTGCCTCTAACACGACCTTTGTTACCAGTGGTGATGCTTACTCAGATCCCTCGCGTTATCGGTCACTTGTTGGTGCTCTTCAGTATTTGACGATAACTCGTCCGGATATTTCGTATGCGGTCAACCAGGTTAGCCAATTCCTTCAGCCCCTACTATTCCGCATTATCAAGCAGTTAAGCGGCTTCTACGATATGTCAAGGGTACGATTTCTTACGGACCCTCCTTTTCCAAACCGACATATACCACTCTTGTAGGCTACTCTGATGCTGATTGGGCTCGTTGCCTCGAGACCCGTCGTTCCACTTATGGTTACTCGATATTCCTCGGGGGCAATCTTGTATCCTGGAGTGCCAAGAAACAACCAACTGTCTCTCGCTCCAGCTGTGAATCTGAATATCGAGCAATGGCCAACACCGCAGCGGAAATCATTTGGATCACTCATTTGTTGCGAGAACTTCATGCACTGCCACCGGATCGTCCAACATTGTTATGCGATAATCAAAGTGCTCTGTTTCTCACCCAAAATCCCATTTTTCACAAACGTGCTAAGCACATTGATCTTGACTATCATTTTATTCGTGAACTTGTGTCGTCCGGTAAACTTCACACCAAGTTCGTTCCGACCAAGCTTCAAGTGGCCGACATTTTCACAAAGAGTTTACCTCGTCATCAGTTTGAGTTCTTTCGAGAAAAGCTCTGTATTGGTCCGCCACCGTTTCGCTTGAGGGAGGATATTAGACACACTTAGCTTTT